TATATTATGTATATGATTCCTGGCATGTTTGATATTGAAAATAGCATTAACAATGCATCATCAGCTGCCTTTAGCAGCCCTCATCATTCTTTTTGCCTCCTGACTTGCAATTCGAAAACTAAGCCTAATTGGAAAACGTATTTTCTAGATGGCAGTTTCAGAAATCAATGTTTCACTGCACTTAAATAAGTAAATCCCTGCCTAGAATACCAATGCTTCAAGCAAAACAGATACCATAACCAAAACACTATTCTTGCAAATATTGACAATTTCAAATGTATGATAAAGCTTTGTGAAAATGTTTTCTTTTTTATTCTTGACAAACAATTAATAACTTTAGGCAATTTTTTTTGTCTCAGCTGTGCCTCAAAACATTAGAATAAAAATAAAATACAATACTGTCTATGGCTGTGTTCTCCCTTCCTCATATGTGCAAGCTCTTCTTGAGTAATCTCAAATTTTCATGTAAGGCTTCAATAGTCTATAGAGCTCAGTGCAAGACAATGAGTTTTCTTCAGAAAGGGCATTTCATGCTAAGCGCTCTGTTAGTATAATCATGTCACATGCTATTTGTGTGTGTGTGTGTGTGTGTGTGTGTGTGTGTGTGTGGTATTTTTGTCACCCAGAGAAAATACTTTACTGTGTGACTCTCTCATGATTATAATTGGAAGTTAGTTTGTTTGTCTCCAACTAATCTGAAAACTTAATACAAATTTAGTTAATGCATTTTGGTATAATGAAGCTGCCATGACTCAAGTTGCGAGATACTCTTCAGGATGTGAACTCTGGCATAAAACTAGAAAGGATTCAAGCCTCCAAACTGCTCAGAGCGCAAGACAGCTCTGGTATCTAGGATGAAAACAAATTCCATGAGTTTGTGTTAAGTCCCAGGATGGTATTAATATCCCTCTAACCTCAGCTGACATCATCTATATCATCAGAATGATGTCACAGTCCTAGCGGAGGACAGTATCTCAGCGAGGGTTTTCATGGGGTTAGGATTGCTCTGGTTTTACTAGACTTGGAGAAGGGAGGAATTAAGAAGAAGGGAGGGACTATGTTTTGATGTGAGATTCAGAAACCTTTATCCTGACATTTGACTGGACTTTGCTGAGTTTCATTAGGCTCAAATGAAATCAGTATAGGCAGTGAACGAGCGTTCATTTTTAAAAAGGGGGTGGTACCCATTCTCATTTCTTTGAATCCCCATTTTTAATAGAATTGACCCATACTGACAAGAAGCTTTAGAGTGTTTTCTAGCATTCACAGAACCCAGATTGTCCTGTGCAATCTTATTTTGCTGCACACATGGAAACTTTTAGCTCATTACCACGCTCCATTTTTAAAAATACCTCTGTGTCATTCAGCGCAAAGAATGGACCTAGTTCCCTTAATCCGTAAATTGTTCATATTGTACAGTTTGCTTACCTATAAGTGGACAGTGTATGGTCTGATCTATTATTCATACCCTAATAAGAAAGCCAGAAGACAAAGAACTCATCTGCTAACAGAAGACTGCTGTAGCGCTGCCCCAGGACGCAGGAGAAGCGTACTCAATTCCTCCGTCCATCTGAGGCAGCATGCCACTTCCCAGGACCCTGCTCACCGCTATGTTAATGGGTATCACAAGCTCTGCCTGGAAGTAATACTTTGTAGGATATGCTTACATATTCACTGACCCAATAAACAGAAGCACAAGCTTTGCAGTCCCTGTATGGATTCTCTTCATGGCACGGTTGATTAGTTCCATGCTTTAAATCTACTTTGCCTTCCTGATTCAAAGTATTCCATATGCTAGCTGTATGTTGATGTTAATACTCCTCCACCCTAAAAGTTTTGTAATCTAGGCGCTCGTTTCTTGCACTGTACAAAAATTCCCAGGGTTTCAGAAATGTTAATGCAAATTTTTCCTAATTTTTGTGAACACGTAAATTTTAGCCCCAACCTTGCTGATAAATTCAACATAGATGGTTTTCTACCCAGAAATCACATTTTTCGCTGTACAAATAGTTGTCACAAGCAGCTTATTATTTCCTCAGCTGCAACATGAGAAGAAAATCTTATGGAAATCTCACAGAAATGACCGTTAAGCAGGTAGCCAGTCTTGAAAGTTCTGAGATCAAGAAATAATTGCAAATACACATATTTGCATGTCATGTAATATAGTTATATTCTGCATTTGCTAGATGCGTTCCGTGAGGATATCTGTTTTTATGTATGCTGTTTATATAATGATTAAAGAGCAAATGCAGGTAAGTCAACTCAAACTTCCAGAGGAGCCCATCTGTTTTGACCATACTTCTGCTGAGAAAGTTTCAGGTTCAGAACAAAACTTCACATCAGAGATAGTAGAAGACATCAAAGAGTAAGTAATGCTCAGGCACGTAAGGCAATAATTTAAGATGTGAGAGACTCGCATTCAATTCCCTACCCTTAAACAAGTGCCCCATTTAGTGGGAAATACAATGTCTTGAAGACTTCCACTCTGTATAAAGAATTAAATATTAACTATGAAAGTGAAGTGCTATCACACGCTACAATATGCTATCAATTGCCTTCATAGTTCGAGGTACTAAATTCTAAATTAAGGTCCTAAATTTATCACTTTGTATCAGTAATCATTCTCCTGAGAAGTTCCATCCAGAACAGCCTATTTTCTGATGGTTAGGACCATGACTTATGACATGAAAGGGTTCAGTCATTCTCCTACATGAATTTCCAATATCCCATAGGAAATACAATCCCTGATCAACACTTGGCTATTGCAGAGCTAGTCTCAGTTTCCACAAGGAAAAAACAATCAATTTTTCCCAGTCTGAAACAAGTTCTGAAACTCATTTTATGAAATGGGATCCTGATTTTCTGGCAGCCGCTACAAAAACACACAGTAACCAGTTTCTGCAGACGGAAGCCTAGCCAAAGTTTTGCTTAGGATTAGATCAGTTCCGACAGCAGCTTTAACAGACACATGTCAAATCCTGACTGACCTGAATTTTTCCTCAAAGATTAATCCCTCAGCTGTCGTTAGTTTTAACTCATTGATGACTGGACCATGTTTACAAAATTACAAGCATAATCCTGAAAGCTACATATATGTAGTTGGTACGCGTTTATATGTGCAGAGTCACCGTGTGTTTGTGTAGATAGCTGTTTGCATACAAACACACATATATAAATCCCATCCATTGATTTCTCATCCTGAATTTTTAAACAAAAGTGTGGTTTTTTAAATATAAAGCCTAGCTTGGTCTCAAATGAGTGAATGTACTACACAGTCAACAGCTTATAGTGATTACAGAAGAGATTAATAGAATTTTAAGTACTGAAAGACATAATTATTACTAAATCTCAGTATGTAGAACATGTGATTTTTTTTAAAACCAAAAATTTAATATTACCTAAATACGCCACCTGTTTCACTTATACACCTCTTGCTAAAAGAAGTAAATTGCTAAAAGAAGTCAAGAAATTAGACAAATTAAGAGAAAGAGTGGCTATTCCATCAAAAGCTAATTTTTCTTTTTTCTCAGACACTCTGCAATACTCAAAGAACAAAAATACACTGGAGTTATTACAATAATATTGCAACAGTACACCTATCCAAGTTCTGATTTAAACTGGAGCAACTCAGAGTAATTCCACTGATTTATGTACAATTATTAGAGATGAATGCATTTCAGACTTAATTCAGTCAGTTCAATATTGTATCATTCCATTATCTTGAACACAAACAATCTGTTCTAGTAACGCTCTCCATTTTCCCATGGAACTCATGCCTGTATAATTAACCACAATCAACTGTAACACAGATGGCATCATATGATCCCAAACCCTTTTATGAAAACATTTTAAGCATGTTATTAACATCCCTAAATAACTAACTATTTAATGCTCCAACCCTCTTCTGCGTAAATACACAACACAGCTGGATTTGAGAGGGCGAAAGGCAGCATTTAACTAGAAACACTGTTATAAAAGAATTTCAGTTCTTGGATTTATTCAATTTATAAATGAGCTTGTAATAACAGACTACTGTAGCAACAAAAACATTCGGTTTTAGATTTCATAAATAAGACTTACTTCCAGAATGACTCATCCGCAATAAGCTGAGGAAGTAGACAGTATGGAAGGACATTAATGCAAGGAAGAACTTTTTTCAGACTGATCATAGCTTTCCAAGTGAAAAAATGATATTTCTATTTGGAAGAATTTGTTTCATTTCTTAGTAGATGTGTGTGCAGTTCCAAACTGATATTATAAATTCACATTTCACAGCAATAGACAATAATTTGAATAGAAAGTCAATTAATCCCCAAACGAAAAGCAGGTGAAAGTTACTAGATGCCCATCAACCTCTAATGAAAAGTTGCTTCTTCATCCAGAAAAAGTTTATTCTTTGAGGATTAGCTTATTAGACTTGTTTTTTCAGTATTAAATATCCTAGCTTAAATAACCTTTTCTCGATAATTGCTAAGATTCCACTCCCTAATTTCAGATCACCGCCGCACGCTTATTTAACAGCGAGTATGTCCCTCTTGGCCTTTGCCAGCATCACCAGTGGCTGCTTTTCGTCCTTCTTTAAGGCTTTCTTCTCTCTAATCTGAGTACCGAATCACACACAGGCCTTTTGAATCTGCTGCAGTGATTGAATTTATGGCTACTGGCTAACACGAGCACCCCGCATGCACTTTAGCGCAATGTCGGCCACGTTAGTTTAAGTTACACACTGAGGCGGTCTGAGCTCACTGATCGGTTTTGTACTGAAGCAGACAAGGGGAGCTCACACATCATCAACCATTTGTGAATGAATGTTAAAAAGCAGCGTGGGAGCGGAGACATTTAAGCCGTTTCACACATTTACAAAGTGAATGTGTACCTGCACTTCAGGACCTGACCTATAAGCTAATTAAAAAAGGAATGCAAGAGCATGATCAAACTAACAAAGTAGCTGGAGATTTATTCTGACGATGCTTTCAACAGGGAACGGCCAGAGTACGTACCAAAGGTGACAGCACTTGGGATTAACACCATTCCTCTCCGAACACGAACATTTGCTTGACAAGAGGAATCCCGGTGAGGGCAAGAGGTCCAAAATCTCAGCGAATCAAGTGTGAGCCTTTTGACATGATCTGTGAATGGGAGATGTTCCCTATGAAAGACAAAGAGCTTTGGTGAATTCTAGGAAATGAGACATCTTTTGCATTATAATAACTGAAGAGACAACTTACTTCTCTTTACACTGAGCAAACTTCTGGCAAGAATACTGCTAGAGAAGATGAAACCAAGAATGATATCCAATTTAAAGGTGAAAAATGAGTTCAGAAAAGAGAAGTTGTTGAAGTATCACATTGCCATTACTTAAGAACTGGTGCTCAGTATTTGCTGCTTAATATTTGAAGTGGGAAGCACTAAGGAATATTCAACATCAGAACGGGAAGCAGGATGGCAAAACCGTAATGAATATAAAAGAAGAATCATCTCTACACACTTATACATTTAGCAGGAACTATTACGAAACTTTAAGGTTTCTATCAAATGGTTAACATCACAGCAGGTGGAGGGAATCATTTCCAGAATCAGTTTCCATTTGTGCGCTCTGTGGGTAATTAAATCAGTCTTATGCTCCTTCCTGAAGGAAGCTCGCAACATAATATGTCACAGAGCTCTGCAAAATTCAGTGAGAGCAGTTCTTATTAATTATTGGTTTTGATCCATGTAGTCATACAATCTCTCCAAATAAATCAGGAGATAAGCCAACAGTGTAAAAAATTTTGCCTTCTCAAAGGAAAGAGCTGGAGAGAGACACCACAAAAAGGTCCCACAACTACACACAGATAAAATATACAAAGCAAGAATGTTACTACTCTCAGTTTTAACTAAAAAAGCCAGGGTTTTCACCAATCAGAATAGCAACTTTAAGCTTGAGTAGCACTAACTTCAGCAACAGCAAGTCATTAGTATTTTTGCATAGAATTATGCGTTTTAGTATGTTCTAGCGCCTAGTCACGGTACTGAGCACCATTTCACTAGCTTTTATATTTTCCTTGTTTTTTATGCCAACAGTTTAGTTATTATAAAAGATTGTTCGGAATGATGTGTAGATAAAAAAATCACATTACATGACTCTAATGAATAAGATGCAGTATTATAGTACTTTTAGAAGTGAAAAAAGAGTTTAGGAACCAAGACCTACGGAAATGAATTCAGCACGATGGTATACACTCCACCATGCTGCGGGCGGGGAGAGGACAGCCCCTCTGCCAGCAGCGGCCAGCACCATCTAAGGAGCCCTTTTACGAGGAGGAGCCCCTCGCGATGCTGCTGCCTTGCGGAAGGCAGGTCTAGTCCTGCCGAATTTGAGCAACGCTGTCACAGGAAACGAAGGGCAGCTTTCCTGTTCTCCTCATCACACGTATCAAGAGAGGAACGGGAATCCAAATACACACAGTCAGCTTTTTGCTTTATTTGACTGAAGATTCAATTCATAAAACAATGAGAAGCTGTTTCAAAAGCTATGACCATTAAGCGCTTATGGTGAATTCAACTCTCTATACATCTGCCTTTGTGAAAACCACACGTAGTCCCCAAAACCCTGTTCAAAACTATTCCTTCCCAGAGCAGGTAAACTTTATAGAGTACAAAACCTGAAGAGCTCAAGTTCCACTGAAAATGATCTTAGGCATAGGATGGCCCAGGTCTCACACCTGAAGTCAGGAAGACATTTGATGACAAAGCTAGAAATACATCCTGAGCTTCCCAGCAGTATTTCAGTAATTCAAGCGGGAAATGCTCCCCTCATCTAGTATCCCCACGTCACCATTGTTCTAGGCAAACTCTTTACTAGATACTGAAAGGACACCAGGATGAACATACATGGACAATATATTCTCATTGCTTACAAAGGTGCAATCTTAGAGAGAAGTAATTGCCAAAACTTACTATGGGGAAATTAAGAAAAAGAAACACTCAAAACCTTGCTAGGGAGATCAAAATTTCAGTATTTCGGTTATGATTACTAGATTTTGTTACAAAATGTGAACACTGAAACTACTGAAAATATATGGAATTGCATCCTTAGCCTGGAGATTACATTTTATTTTAAAAAAAGTAACAAAAATGCAATAGAAACCTGAAAACCTCCTACTAGGTATCATACAACATGAATTACTTTTCACAGCTTCCTGAATTCCACTGAAGATGGCTCACATATGAGCCAAAATATACTGCAACACATACACTATAATTAAGAAGTGCTGGATGTAAATGTAAGGTATATGGGAACAGATCTAATTCTGTTACAGAGATATATATGTATATACATATTTTAAGCATGAGAAACTACTGAATTTACTACCACCTTCCTTAGGAATACTGTATCACTGGTTAAAATGAATTGTTATACATTTAATTATTTCACAAGTTTTCACAGATTTCCGGATTCATCCAATAATCAGCTACATAATCAATTCCTTTTCACAGCTAATAAATCTTATGAAGAAACAGAGTCAAAATGCACAGCTCTGTCATTACAGCTTAGGTACTGAACAGAATACTTGTTAACGAGCAAATATAGAAATATTTTGCAAGCAGTAAGGGGTTTTAAAAAACAAAAAATAAAGTTAGCTAACTTCATACAACAGCTCTAATGCATATTTAGAAAGAATGCACCCCTGCAAGGGATAAAGGCAGAAGTAGCTACAGGAAAATGATGCAGTTGGGAACTGCAGTATTCCACTGTGGCCTCCCGCAGCCCTTCGAAATCGGGCTCCTTCCATTTATTTCACCCAGTTATGAATTAGGCACTTGAGCCAAGTTCCACTTAAGCTGGTAGGAGACTTTTCATCCACTATAATTATCAGGACATTAATATAATAGGAAGTCAAAAAAAGTGCCTAGAAGTGATCTCTTAAGGCAGTCAATTTAAAAGCAAAGATTATCTCTTCGAAAATGGACAAAATGTGGATGCTGTAAAAATATGAGCCAGAACAAGAACTCCATTAAGGCACAGAAATGAGGGTGGAGATGTATTGCCTAATGTGGGCTCCTGCACAGGAGGAGAATGGCTCAGCAGCTTTCCTCATGGGTAGGGGGAAGACAGAAACAGAGCCTTGGCCGTTATACAGCAAGAAGCGGTTTGGCCAGGATGTTAGAAGAGGTCAGTAATGCTGGTGGCAGACACTTTGCTCTCCAAGAGCACTTCAAACTTCTCTCTTTTGTATGCATGCCTTCTTTGTGCCAAGGAGAAGGAAAGGAAAAAGACAACCCTATCAAGATAAATACTAGAAAACCAAGTTTTATTTCTTAAAAATTCATACCTATCTACCTGGTCTTTATATCATATTTGAAATTCATAGTAACGTTTTTGAAAGATGAATGAAATAAAATAATTGGGGGCAGCAACCGATGATGAACATATTCTGAAAAAAAGGAACATGCTCAGTTTAGAGCTGGCTATACGTAGCTCATCAAATTTTGCATTTCTGCATTTTGCATTTAAACCTCAGCTGACTTTGATTGCATTTCAAGCTTACTGAAATTACACATGAAACCTTGCCATTACCCCTCGGCTTACGTTCATGCTCTGCATGTGGTTCACACAGGGTGTGCTTTATCTGGCTCCTATCGGAAGCCACCCTGACTTGTATGAGTCAGTATTTTATGGAGGGTTAAGCAAAGATAGGTCTATGAGATGATAGAGCTTTGTTTTAAAGTCAGGTGAAAAGATGGGGAACAAAGCTTTTAATATTAAGTTGTTACTTATCCTCAGACTAGAAATACAGTCATTTACAAGAGCCACCTGTCTGGAGGTCGCTATGTATTTTTATAAGCATCTCTTCAAGTCTCTAGGAGCAGGACACAAGTCAGCGGGGCCTCCCCTTGCCCTGCTATCTCTAGGTAAGCACAGGGGAAATACTAAAAACAAAAACAAACCAGGAAAGTAGTCAAGAAGAATAAGGACAGCAGAGTTAGTTGAGTGCTTTGAGGAACAGCAGTACATAAAGATTTAAGTATAATACTTAATCCTTATAATACCAAATAAGATGTATTTTTTTTCCCAGATGACCATAAAAAAAATCTTTCAAGGTGGAAACATTTTAAGTGTGAAAGCAAATTTATATTTAGCCATGATTGTACCAAATACCAGTAAGTTAACCTTCCTTTAATAATTCTTTTTTATTTGCTTCAGGTATGTAAAAGACCTAGCCTAACTAACAACGTTTATCAGCACACAGAGCAGAAGTCAAACATGCTCCTATAAATCCCAAGCACTGAAATCAGTAGAAAAAAATATCGACACACATGCGCTTTGAAGCAAACTCTAAAAACAGAACCAATGTTATCCCATAATCCATGATAAGTATTTACATACGATAGGAATATTTCTCTCTGTGTTGTTAGGTTCATCAGGTACATACTTCCAACTATAAAGAAAGGATCTATTTTAAAAAAGGTTAAAAAAAAAAAACAGAAAGATGTTTGATTAAAATTTTGAAGGCAAAACCCCTCCCAGATAACTCCCAGAAAGACTGATGCAACCTTGCAATATCAGAGCTCGTGCTTCTAATAGGAGAGGCAAAGCAATAACTAGAAAGAAAAATGTAAAGCACATACGAAAGAACACATTAATGACCAAGAAACGCTTAGTGTAAAATGAAACAAAGTCTTCCTGTGTATGAGGCACATAATTGAAGCTCCTGCTATGCTGAGGATATGCAGGCGCATTATTTTTTCACTGCTGCTGACTTTGTCAAGGTGGTTTCTCTTTGTGCACTAACCAGACGTACACGGCTGAGACTTTTTAAGCTATAATCTGATTTTTTAAAAGCTGCTTTGATTTGAGATGCTGCATCAACCTTCCTAGTCAATTTGCTGGCATGCAAATTGCTGGCATTCTTCTGTAGTTTCATGCAACAGAACAGTAAGTGGGTTTAAGAGTGCCTTTCAGCATGTCACAGATAAACCCATTCTAAAATAATTCAGGCTTTTAAAGGGAATAAAAGGGCAAGAGTTGTTTCAACCTAACTTTAACACTGCAAGTTAAAAGACTTCCCCAAAGGAATGGATCTATTTTCAACATGAGCTCACCAACTTTCTTACTAAGACTAACAACAGGAAGACAGACAGACTCACATTCAGTTTACATACGTT